CCCCAAAACCCCAAAACCCCAAAACCCCAAAACCCCATCAATCAATTTAAAGCAAATAAAGTGATAAAAAATAGTTAAAGAAATTAAAATTAAATAATCATTTTATTTCTTGAGTCTAATAAATTTTTAATATTATGTTTAGGCAAGATGTTTATTTTCAGAATTTTTCGAACTCCATTACTTTGATAGTCGAAAATTATTAGTTTTTATTGATAAACTTGTCTGATTGTGCAACGATTTAATCTCGTTTCTTGTATTTTTTGTGAGATTATGGAGAGTGACTAAGAGTTATGTCAGACTTACCATCCTCTACAACACTTTATGTCTTTATATTTTGCTTGTATATCCTACTTTTTGTACTCTTCTTTTTTTAATCAGATTTTAAGCTTGTTTACTTCCTACTATGCTTTCCATTCATCAAACCTTAGCTTCCTCTTAATTTGCTTATAGCTGGACTATTCATACTGAACATCAGCAGCTTGAAATCGCTATTCTTTAATGAGTTTTTTCCCTCTCTTTCTCATGATTAGGTAGAGATATCTCTTTATTTTTCCCTTGAGCAGTCATTTGTTAGGATATTTCATTTTGATCTTATATTGCTTTGATTGAATCAATATCTTTGATTCTGAATATTGCTTCAATGATAACAGTGAGAAGTTTAGCCCATCTAAAGTTTAAGCATTTCAATATACAGTATAGCCAATTTATAAGAAACCAAATATTGAAAATTATTATGAATCCAACAGTGACATACTTCACGTTATCAGATATTTCAGAGTTGACAAAGTAAATGCCACCGTAAAAGGCAACTATTGTTGTTATTATTTCTAACTCTTCCAATCTATTTATTGATTCTAGTTTGTAAGGTTTATACCTTATTTGCAATCTATAGACAAAGAAGAGAATTATTAGAGTAAGCATTGCTTTAAAAAGAGGTATTTGATCATAGAAAAATACGTTAGTAGCTACCAGAAATAATTTTCTAAACATATTAATGAATTCCCAGTAATAATATTCTGGTTTGAGACCCTTTGATAAGGAACTAAAAGAATTATTATTAATTTGCTTCTTTGAAATGGTCAAACTTTAATCTGTCTTTACCTGGAAACTATCAAGAATATCTTACTTCTATGCTTTTACTTGTTTTCGAAGAAAGATAAATCCCACTAGTGGTATTAATATGGCCCAAAAAACTAATAATGGCAATCCGATCAGCAAACTAAATTTAAGATGATCACCTTCCCAACATTTAACTTATAAGTCAGTTTAAAGCCATAATTATCCCTTGTCTAACTCTATGCAGTAAAACATATTAAAAATGTATCTGACAACAGTAGGGTGAGCAAAGTTTATAATTAGTATACTGCTAACAAGAGTCCAATGCTTAAATGATATTTTTGCCAGTCTTTTAATTGGTCTAGTTATTAAGTAGATAACTAAAAACAACAGGATTAAGATTATTGGAATTAAGCCGACAATTACTGTCTTAAAATAAGTGTAGCTGTTTTGATCATTTGCAATGACATTATTCTACAAAAAGCAATCAAAGTAAATTAAGTTTTAAACAGAATCACCCACTTATACGAATATATTGAAGAATTCTCTCAGAAGATTTGGCCACTTCAAACTTAATAAATCTGTATAGGTTATTATCTAAAGATAATTTGTCAGAATTCTCATAAGTACTCCAATTTTACTATCCTCTCTGCTGTTGATATTAAAGATAATCATTATTGAAAGGTAAACAATTATCGCAATGACTGCTGAAAATATGACCACGTTAAATTTAGTTTTGGGGCAAATTCCGCATTTACTGCCAGTTGTGCGAGTGTATTAGACATCATTTACCATTACACATTATTGACACAGATTTCCTCCATAACCATCGAGGCACATTGGATATTATTACGATTCTTTGTTATATTCAGCATATAATCCACCTAGACAAGCAGTTTTTTCAATGCATTCATGAAATTAAATTGACTAGTTGCTAGATCTCCAGTAACCTTAATAGATTTTAATTGCCTGTCCTCCAAGGCAATCTGCATTTTCAGGACAATTTTAGCACAGTGTTTGATTGAATCCAAGTGCATATGTCCCAATCTCACAAATCTAGCATTGGTCATTTATTTAAACTTCTCCTTCAATGCAAAATCTAAAATCAAGGTAGATAATTAACTGGTTTATTAATCTTTCTGATTATGACTCATTTTTAATATATCTAAGAGTCACTTCATTTTTAATATTTGGATTAAATATTTTGTAAGGTACATTTGTCGACCCAGGCTTCGCTATGAATGTAAGATCTGAAAAATTGCCCAAACCTCTTTAAAGTTCTATTTGCTTATCTCCGATTAATTGAGCTATTGATAAATCTATCGACTCGATAATAAGATTCCTAAATAAATGGGTTAAGCTAGTGATTCTTACTATGAGACATCGAGTTTTATCCTATTGTTAAATAAATCAACTATTTCTGCCAATATATACCCTTAGTATTTTTAGCCACTTGCCACTGTCTATATTGTTTAGCTTATAAGGTTGATATTAACTGGAAAGCTTGCTATATCATCTCCATATTAAGCTATGTTGTTAGTAAATGTATTAGTTTCTAACCCTTATGGAACATAAGAATCAAAGTATATAGATCCACCTTCAAGAATTGCGTAATTGTTAGAAAATGAACTTGTGTAAATCTTTGACTTACAAGCATTCATTCCAGCACACATAATAGCGATTGAACCACCAATTTTTGACTAGCATTAATCAAAATTAGAATTTTCAATAATTAGATCAGAATTATGAGATACAATAGCACCTCCTTGATCTAATGAACTCAAACCAGATATTTAAGAATTGTTGATTTGCAGTTAGCTATGAAATGCTGATAAAAATCTATTATTCATTTCTCTATCACTTTATCCTTCAGTATTTATCAGTCCTCTTATAGTGGCGTTGTTGATTTAAATAGATGATTATGAAATAGAAATAAGACTATTCTAAAAATTCTCACCTTATATACTATCTAATTATATGTCTAGTGATCTCATAATGCTAATTAAATATGGACTTTTTTATTGAATCTTCCTTAACTACAAATTATTAACTATAAATTTCGTAGAATCTATAACAATGAACTTGAAATTGACGGTAATCTGATTTACTTCATTGATATAATTTTAATCCATAGAGAGAGTTGAACTCTAAGAGTTTAAAAATGAAGTCTAAATCTACTAAAGTCTATTATTTATTAGGTTCAACTTAGAGTCTAAGGAAGAAGCAATCAAATACTGAGAACCTAAGATGTTATCTTACTGATATGAGGTATAGCTTATATTAGAATTCAGTAAATCAAAATTGCATTTGGTTAGTTAAAGAAAATTTTCATCAGAGGCATTGATAGTTATATTACTAATACTAACAGAATCCATTACTAAATAGCCAGAGAAGCAGCCAATGAAGTTCCTTTCATAAGTTATAGATGAGTTATTGAGAATCTTAATTTTTGAATTTTTCATGTCAAGTGTTTTTGGTTGATATTGAGAAGTACTAGCTTTAGAAAGTATCGTTGTAATTTTCTATTGAAAATCTGGTTGAAATGTTCTCAAAAGCATCATTGTTTCACTAATCTTAAGATTTTTATTTTGCTTAAAGGTACAATTGTTTAGAAGGGAATAATTGTCTAACGAATCAGTGATGTGGATAGTAGATGAAAGAAGTGCCTTGTTGAGAGTAAAAATTGTATTTGAAATATTAAAGTACCCTTTATTTTCTAAGTTTCCAGCTCCTCCTTTTGCAGCAAAATTCTCCTGAAACAAGCAATTTTGTAATTCAATGTAACCATTAAAATGCATGAAAAATACTCCTCCTAGATAAGCATAATTTTTAATAAACTGGCTATTCTTAATATAGAGTTACACATCTCTAAAATCGCCATAAAACACGCTACCTCTTGATAATGAGTAATTTTCCTCGAAGTAGGAGCTATCCACATAAATTTATGTATTTGTTTGAACTCGTATTAAAGCGTCCTAAATCGGAGCATTTTTAATAAATGTGCTATTTGATATCTAAACTATCAATGGAAGCGAAGTCCTGACTTAATCTTTCGCGTTAAAACCTAATTATGCTTGAATGTTTCGATTCAGAGAAATATTGTTAATCAAAAGTGGCATTATATCATTTTAGTTCATTTGTATTATATAGCCCCCTGTGATATATTTAAAATCGTTGAAAACAGAATTAAAGATTCTAACTTGGACAGGAAAGTTGTTTACAAATTGACTAAATTGAATAAAACTGTTCTTTTTAGTTATAGTGTTGTTAAAAGCATAGATGCTTGAGATATCAAAGTAGTATTAGTCTGTAGCCTTCACTCCTAAATCAGCATAACCCTAAAATAATAATAGATTGACCTCACTCTTTGATACAGTAACATTACTAAAAATAGAATTCTTTGTGAATCCTGATTAAAGATTTTTCTCTGCATATCTGAAGATAAATCCATCACTTCTAAGGTCATCATTATATTAGAAATTAGAAAAAGTTGTATTGAAAACTTGCAAATAAATGCATTTAAGCATACCAAAATAATAGTAGCCCGATCCAATTTCTAAAAACAGCTGTTTAATAATGTATCTTACTTTCATCATAAAATCTAGAATTTTTAATTACTACTTAGAGATTCCTATCTATTAGAATTCCCTAGGCTGCATACCTAATACAGCTGTTAATTTGGAAATTAGCATACATTGAATTTTAATGAAAAGTCATATTGTCAAATTCAAAATACCCTCTAACAGGTGCATTTAAGCTTCTTATGATAGTTTAACCAACTTATTGGGGATCATCTAGTAGATTTAAATAAAATAATAAGTTACAGGTGATATTTTTAACATAAATATTGCTCAGTGTTACATTAGAAGCAAGTTGTAAAGCAAAAACATTTCTACCCATAAAGTAAACATCTTCAATAGAAATATCTACCACATAGTTTATGAATTTTAATAGACTTACTCTGCCAAAAAATCCTTGTTGATGAAGATCCTTGCAGGATTGAGTTCTGTTGTTAAAGTTAAGTCACATTTTTTATTTTGAAATTCGTCATACTTAGTGGTGCTCCTGAAGTCCTGAAAATATATACTTGACCTTAAATGTATAAATTTTCAGTGGTAATGTTGTCAATTTTTATAGAAGTTGCTCTTTTTATATCACCAATCTGTCCAATCAGAAAATGAAACATATTTATGACATTTTCTGCTGAAGTTGGGGTTGTAACATACAAGTTTGTTACTTCATATGTTTTTACTCATCCATCGTTAATCGGCACTACACAACTTGCCACAGAATCAAAGTAAATCTAGTACATAGATAAATGGATGTTATAAGAATAGGTGTGAATTTAAGAGTTAGTAATAGTTTGATTATTTATTGAGTTGATCTATATATAGGCAGATTTTTAAATAGATTCTATGTTTTTTTGGCCTGTTAAAGTTAAGTTATCTATAACAATATCTCCATAGAGTGCATTTTGAGATTTAAGTAGACAATCAGCAACTATTTTGATTGCATATACCATATTGTAAGGTTTAATTACGGTATTTGTTAAATTGAAGTTCATGGGCATTAATGAAGAAAAAATAGATCCTTGACCATCAAATATCATTTTCTGTAATATAGGGATTAAAATTGTTAATTCACATGAGAAAATTTGGTTTTAAGGAGTAAAATTTATGAGAAAAGGTCAAACTTACATCGAAGGTAATTCTATTGAATTGAATATCCCAGCCATGCATTAACTCGTTTTTATCATTGACTGTTTCATAATTGTCTGATAAGAAATTAAGCTTATTAGTCTAATAGTTTACTATTTAATTGAAGATTTTTCAGTGTAAAGTTACTTCTTATCACATTTATATCTGCGTAACTATTTTAAAGTATCTATGAATACTCTGAAATTGGAGTGGATTTTGCATGATAGTTAGAAGTTATATTATAAATTTAACTGCCCATAAGATTAAAATAGGTTGACTCTGATTCTCTAAATTAAATGCCATTTTTAACTACGATTTGAGAAATCTAACCCAAATTATTTTAATTATTATCATCATATGTCCTAAATAATAAATGGGTAATAAATACGAACCTGACCGTCAAGTTTTTAGCTCCATTGACATATTATTTTTCTAATAAAACTTCCATACTTAGCGTTGTATTCTATTTTATCAGTATTTAAATACCTATTTAATCCGCTGGTAAATAGTTGAATACTTCTTTCAATGCATGTTAGATGAATTTATAAGGAAATTTCTCTGTTCCAAGCTCAAGATAGAGATTAGATTAGGAATTAACAAATATTCGAGTATCTAATAAAGTAAAAATAAAAAAGTTGAATGATACCCCTGCAATACTTATAGTAGTTACCATTTAAAAGTAATTAAGCACTAATTTTATCAGGAGGGCAAACCTAGAGTCTTTGTAAACTCTCAAGGTCGAAGAAGAAGCTATCTAGTTTTAATGCACAAATATTTTAACCTATACATAAATTCATGGGGCATCCATCGCACTCTATAAGTATTAAAATTTAGAGGAAAACTTTTCAATTATTACATGTGCATGTTTAGTTTAAAATATCAATGCCATTTTGACAAAATTAACAAAATCCATCTTAATTAATGCTCATTAGATTATTTGGACAACTTAAGCAGACATTTTATTCTTAGCAAGTCAGGCAAGATTGCTAACAACCTAAAATAAATATTAATTCCGTTTTAACTCCTATTCTTATCAAAGTCTTACTTGTGCATTAATCTAGAGTAGAGTTAAAATAAAAGCCATCTTAGCAAGAAAGACTAGCATTTGCATTTAGTGAGAAAAGTCCAGTCAAAACTACCCACTAGAATAGTAGTAATGACGTAGGTGGTTTATTACCATTCTGAAACATTTTATCTTAGATTATTTATATGACTACCTAGAGAAATCTAAAATTTTAATACTCAAATAAAGATATATTTTTAAAATATCATAAAATTAATACGATCTAGCACTATGGGGTTTTGGGGTTTTGGGGTTTTGGGG